CATCAAAATAATTTGATGCTTTATTTTTCTTTGTCGTGTGAATTCCATAGACTCATCACTATTTTCAAATACTGACAGTTATAATCAAGGTAAAGCATCTCATTCACTATAAATTGCTTTCTGTCCGAATAGAAATGAAAAGTACACCTTGACCAAATATTTTATACATTGTTCTCATGTATTCATTTATCCTTTTAAGCATACTGTATATATATTTTTCAAACATTTAGAAGTTATTTTTCTAAGTACATTAATGCACATGAGTTAGATCAAGATGAATATGCATGTTGGGAAAGTGTTGACTATAGAATATTTTAAAGCAGAGCAATTTGGTTAGTGTAAATAATTGTAGAAACTAAGATAATAGTATTAACAGCGGTCCTAACAGGAACTGCTCTCATGAAAAGATTCGGTAATATATTTTTAACATGTTGGTGAATATTTGTGAGTTCTAAAGTTCTTTAAAAATTCCGAAAAATTGGAAACAGGTGTCCTAAAATCCTGTGACATCACAAGCTTTTTGTGATCCAACCTATCATTTCGTCTTTCAACATTGATTCGTTCAACAAGCATTTTTTTTTACAGTTTATGAATGTGGTCCTATACTAGGAGCTTAGTGTATACCTGCTAGTGGGAGAAATAGACCCATCAGTAGATAACTGTAATACAGTATGGTAAGTGCTGTGTCTGCTCACAGGTAATGAGAGAACTCATACATCAGCTAGTTTATCCGTGTATACTCAGTACACTTTTTGCTCGCTCACATTACGCTCCTGCTGCAGTGGTCTTCTGAAGCTCTGTGTATACGTATAAATGCTGTCTGTTCTTCAGGGCTGAACTTAATCTCTACTTTTTCATGGAGCCATTCCTCATGTTCTTACTGTCTCTTAACTAAGGGTAATCTCTTTCTCAGAGTGCACAAGTTTAGAGAAGTTAGTGTATATGTCAGGCCTCTTGCAGACAGGATGTCTGCAGCTGTGCCCTCATAGCGAAGTTTTTAACTGAAGTTCGTGGCTTCAAAGGAGATCCGTGAGTCCCTGAAATTATATGCAGAGTTTCATATGTGTGTTTATATGGGAAGCAGGTCTCTAGCTTTCATCTGATTTTCATAAGGTTATTAGAACTCACCTTTTTCCTTTAATTTAATAACTGTATGAAAATCAGTATTATAGCATAACCTAAAAATACTAAACAGTACAGTATTGCTATGTAGGCATAGAGGAAAGGGGAAGGCATTTTAGAAGGGAAAAAGAGCATGAGGTAATGAAGGCTTGAAGTCAAGACAGACTTTAAGGAGTCTTTACAGTTCCCTCATTTAAGCTGAGATTTCTGATGTCTTAACAGGTTAATATGCATGGGTAGAATAGTGGAGGTGTTTGAACTGTATTCTGCTGGTAATGGGGAACCAGTGGAAGTTTCTGAGAAGTTAACTATTGAGAAAAAGGCATATTTAATAATGTAATGGAATTTTTTCTAATATTGACTAAATACCTAAGTATAGTCAATATCAGAAGTGAGAAGGAAGGGTTTTAATTACTTAAGACACATGGAAAATTACAAAGCTATCTTTTCTCCCCCCCCCCCCCCCCCGCGGTACGCGGGCCTCTCACTGTTGTGGTATCTCCCGTTGCGGAAGCACAGGCTCCAGATGCGCAGGCCCAGCGGCCATGGCTCACGGGCCCAGCCGCTCCGCGGCATGTGGGATCTTCCCGGACCGGGGCACGAACCCGTGTCCCCTGCATCGGCAGGCGGACTCCCAACCACTGCGCCACCAGGGAAGCCCTACGAAGCTTTCTTTAACTGAAAGATGATACTGTAAATCACATCTATGCCTCATTTTTTTTTCCCAATCAAAATCTTAATTATATCCTCTGATTGGGGGAGATATTGAAGAACATAACCCAAATGGGAATCCACCAGTGGTGGGTGGGCACTTTGGAGTCCTTTAGGTACTTGTAGAGTATAAACAGATTTTCTTAGCATAGAAGTCATTTCTCTAAAATAACCATGTAAACTTTCTTTAGCAACTTCTTGCTGTATAATAATCCCTGCTAAAGCCCTATTGATTTCTTTGTTGTTGGAAGTAGAGAATTGTCTAAGGTAGCATAGATCAGTGCTTTAAAAAAAAACCAGATTTTACACGAGAGCTTTTATTGATGAGACTTCTTTAGAAAAAGAGGGAAGTTAGTCAAACTGCTGCCCTATGCTATAATTTAATTTTAACTTTTTGTTACAGAGTTTCAAACATACATAAAATAAGCAGAATAGTATAGTGAACTCCTGTGTAGCCATCACCCAGCTTCAGAGATTAGTGGCTCATGTGGGTGATAATATCTGAGAGGTGAGAAATTTGAGTGTGTGATTCCCATGTGTTTCCACTGCCAGGCCTAGAGTAAAATAGAAGACTAATAGGAATGCGTGGCTGAAGAACAATTATACATGGTGGTTAAGATCTGGGCTCTCAATGCAGGTGTGAATTTGAATCCTACTTCTTTCTGCTCCTTCTGTGTCACTCATATATCCTTGGATAAGCAACTTCCTTTATGCTTGTTTTCTGGGGAGTACCCATCTCATGGGATTTTTGTTAGAATTAAGTAAGATAATATACATTAAACAATTTATACAATGCCCAACAGATAGTATTCTTACAAAATAAATGTTGTTTACAAGATACTGGAGAAATCTGCTTTAGGTATATATATATATATATATATATATATATACATAACACAAATCTGAAATACTTTGAAAAAACTTGATTTCCTTTTAACTTCAGGAACATGTATAACATTAAGGGTATATATTATGTAGGAAATTAATTAAGAAATAAAGCATTTAGTCATAATTCCCTTTTTGTTCATAGAGGCTCATTCGTGGCACCATGATGTAGTTGAAAGGGTGCCTACATAGGCTCTGGAGCCAGAATAACTCTTTACTCACTTGTTCTAACTTCTCTGTATCTGATTTTCCCTATCTATAAATGGGAATTATAAGAGGTATATTTTAATATTATTGTCAAGATAAAGAGGCAGTATATGTAAACTGCCTGGTGTGAAGTGGGTGCTCAATAAATGGGTATCACTATCATTGTCCCACTCGTGTAGGATTATACAAGAGAATTAACTTTTTTGCTGCTAAGCACATATTGCCTCCTTTACGTTTCAAACTAATTTCTTACCAAGTAGTGTATAAAAAAATTGGTTAGAAACCTGTGTGCCTCATGAAACTGAAATGCAGGTTTGTGACCAGCTATATGTGCAGTTGCAGATGATTATAGAGGGGCAGTGAAATAACCTTTCCAAGGAGGGCAGAAGTGAAGGATGCATAACGGCCATCAGTTTTCTCAGTCTCCTGTTTGCAAAGCATTTTATTAAATGCTGTGGGAGATGTCATCTCTTAACAACATCTGTATGTGAAAAGACATACATATATCTGTCTGTGAACCTGTACGTGTGTGTTTGTGTGTGTGTGTGTGTGTGTGTGTGTGTGTGAGAGAGAGAGAGAGAGAGAGAGAGAGAGAGAGAGAGAGAGCGGGAAAAGATAACGTAAGACAGTAAATCAGAAGTGCTGGCCAACTAAATAGTAGTGATATTAAGTACTTTCAGAGTTCTGAGATAGAAATGTTAGTTTTTGCTAGTAGGGTTCAAAGATGGGACACTTTCATGGAGAAGGGGGAAATTTAAGTTATACCTTGAAGGAAAAATAAGATTTTAATAATCAGAGAGCTTCCAGTTATTCCCTCCCACAAGTTTTTCCCCTTCATTCATCTTGTCCTGATTAATTGGGTTTTGGGACCAACCCACAATCCCAGACACGTAACTGGGGCCAAACCATGAAAGAACATTAGTGGTCTTCGACCTTGGTCTCTGAGACAACTTCTTAAACTGATGGAACAGGTGACTCAGGGTATTTCTGCCACCTTTTGGAAAAAAGCTTAGAATTTTTTACTTGGAAAGGTCAGATATAAAACATCCTGGTACTTTACAAACAAGTCTGAATTACACACAACCAATCTTGAAACCCCCTCCCCCATGAAAATACCGTATACTTTTGGACAAATGGTAGTAATGTTTCAGAAACAACTTTTTTTCCCTCAATCAGAAGCTGTGAAGATAGACATAGGAATCTTACAGATAAACTCTTAGTTTTAGCAAGTTCCAGTGGTTCTACTGTCTTTGGAAATGAGCGTGGTGACGAGAGCTTTTTTGTTATTATAAGCCCATGTATAGTAGCCTCTTGAGTATAAAGTATATTATAATATTTCCATACTTAGTTACAGAGCTTCACTATTCAGGACTGCTGTGGCTGAAACATTCCCTTCCCCCTGCAAATACATAGGAAGGATTTGCTCCTTTAGGTACTTTCCCAGTGATTCTACAAAGAAAAGAATAGGTTCTTTCACATATTCCTAGGAAGACAGCATCACTCTTTGAAACCCTTGACCAAGTGCTTTATCTTTAATATAAATGCTCAGATATGTTTTAAACTTTTAATATTTAATTACAAGGTGTAAGCATTTTGCATGTTAACATCACATGGTTTGCCCCTAGGAAGGAGAAAAGGAAAGCAGTCCCTAATAAATATTTCTCAATGACTTTTTTGTTCCCCTAGCATTCTAAGGGATTGTAGCTCTTATTATATTCTGCCTGTTAAATCATTTAAAACTTTTGACACCTGCTAATGTAATGGGCATTCCCAGTTATTCTGATAATATGTCCTAACAGCATAATATTTTGCATTATTGGTAAATTAAGATAACCCATTTTGCTTATTTTTCTTTTGTATTTAGTTTTTAGCAAAACTACATGTTTTTAACAGTATTGTCTTCCTATCATAGCAGATATTTATCTTTTACTTCATGTAGTTGAAATCACCTGAGTAACTGGGTTAATAGCTGTGCTGTGCTGAAGGATTCAGTACCCATGCCTCTGGAGTCTAAACTCTTATTTTTTACTGTACATATATGTAAATAGTAAGGAAATTCAGAATCTCGAGGGAAGTAGCAGCTTCCAAAAAGCTTTATTTAACTGAAAAATAGGGCTCTCTTCACATTTCAGAGTCTCATGTATGCCCCTGAAAGACCTAGGGAGTAGGCTGGGCTGGAAAGGTCAAGGCAGAAGGAAACAGAGTTGGAGGAAGAATGGAATCCATTTGTTTCTGAAATTTTCATGTACTAGATTAATAGCTTCCTTTGATCTAGAAAAAAAGACAAAGATTTCTATATAAGTTTATACGGAAGACCTCTATATAAATCCTGGCTTTATCAATTATGTTTCTTATAACCTTGGGAAAATTATATAACTTCTTTGTGCCTCAGCTTTCTCATGTATAAATTGGGGGTGATATCAGTACTTACCTGGGAAGATTGTTCTGAGGAAAGAATGAGAGAATTCTGGTGAACATAGTGCCTGACAATTAATAAGCATTAATTAAAATTAGTACTGTGGTAATTTTTACCAGCCTTGACGAGACTAAAATCGTGGACGTTGCTTGTTTAAAAGGTTGATTCTTAGTTTCCCTTACCATGAAAACGTAGACGTAAAATACTCTCAATGCTTTGTGATTAAAATATGGTAGTATTTGTATGAGAGAACATAGTGTAGTATTACAGCCCCGCCACATTATATGCAGATTTTGTTTATATGTGGCCATATTGATGTCACCACTTTATTCCTTGAAAAACATACAGGACTTCTTAAACATGTCCTCTAACGGATTAGGGCCATTTTCTTGGTAATAACCAATCAGAACGATTAACGTGAATAGCAGTTCTTAAATGTTGGGCTTGATAATGACTTTCCCACAATTGCTATTTTGGGTCCTTTCTTACTAGCCTGAGGAAATGACAAGATTGAGAAGCATGAACAGACAACTCCAGATAAATGTTGACTGTACACTGAAAGAAGTTGACCTCCTTCAATCTAGAGGTATAGACTTGATTATTTGGTAAACCATAAGTAATAGTGTGGTGTTTTAAGCTGCTTAAATAGCAATCATTTTGGTTTGATAAAAACTCTCTTAAAAGATCACAGTCCTGGTAGAGATCCCTCACTCCATGGTCATAGATCAGATTTGGGTGATCAAAAAATAGTATTACTTTGGCAACTTCATCATTAAGTTCTTACCATTTAGACTGTTTTATGTTGTTACTCTGTATTTATCCTCTTTTAGTCATTTACTGTGAATATTTTATAAATTGCTGGGGTTTAATTCTAAAACGTAGATTTATATTATGTGATAAGTCATCTAAGTTATCTGTAAAAATAGGGATCCCAAATCAGAACATCAGATTTCTCACTTTAAAAATAAGTTCCATATGCGGTTTTTTATGTTATCTGTTACATGAAAACATTCAACTCTATCTTAGATATTTTGTTTTGGGGTTTTTTTTTTGGCTGTCTTATAGAAGTATACTACAGTAGAAGCTCGCTTAATTGACTTTGATTTACCCTACTTGCCAGGTTAGAGATATTCTTCATTTTCCTCTGTAAAATACACAGCCAGGAGAGGCTGCATTCTGGCACGTCTCTGTACTATTGCTCGCATCAGCTGAATTGTCTGCTTACCAAGAGTCAGTTGTGCCTGTTTTTAAACCCGTTTAAATTACAGAAGTATTGTAACTGGCATAATGTTTTCAAAACTGACATGAATGCAGGAGAAGCTGCTCTTTCTATAAAAGCCATAGGCAACTGCTTTTTAAAGACTCAAAGGCAAACACTTAAAAAAGAAATATATAGGGACTGTGAATTAGATATGGGTGTAAACAACTGAAAATGATTACAGAGGAAAATCAGAGGATTCTATTCTCAAATGTTCTTAAAGTATCTTTTTTGCTCCATTCTAAAATCAAAACAGGGAATTATAGATCAGGGTGCAGCAAACTAGCCTGCTCTCTGTTTCTGTAAATAGTTTTAGTGGAACATAGCCAGACCCATTTGTCTGCATATTGTCTGGGGCTTCTTTTGTGTTTCAACAGCAGTTGAGGGCTTACAACTGTATTACAGGTCCACAAAGCCTAAAACTTTTATTATCTGGCCCTTTACAGGAAAAGTTTGCCCACCCCCACTTTAGATCATCATGATGGGTGTAGTTAATTTAAGAAAGACAATATAAGAAGTCTGGTCAACAGATACATAAAGAAAAGGTCTTGGTCCAACATTAAAATATTGCTATGTTTATATGTTTTGTTACATTAAAGTGGGCCTGGGCTTCCCTGGTGGCACAGTGGATAAGAATCCGCCTGCCAATGCAGGGGACACGGGTTCGAGCCCTGGTCCGGGAAGATCCAACATGCCACGGAGCAACTAAGCCCGTGCACCACAACTACTGAGCCTGCGCTCTAGAGCCTGCGAGCCACAACTACTGAGGCCCGCGCCTAGAGCCCATGCTCTGCAACAAGAGAAGCCACCACAATGAGAAGCCCACACACTGCAAAGAAGAGTAGCCCCCACTCACCGCAACTAGAAAAAAGCCTGCACGCAGCAACCGACCCAGTGCAGCCAAAAATAAATAATAAAGTTGGCGTGTAATTTTTCTTAAGAATTCCGTTTTAGTCAGCCACCCCTCCCCCACCACCACTTAACTATTCTTAATTATGGCAGCTAAGAGAGCTTCTACTGTATTTTAAAGTACCCCGTTGCCATTTTAAGGCAAGATTATACAGTAGAAGCAGGGGAACCAAAAAGATACGGAACTCTCTGAACAATAGACAGAAGCACATTTCCATGTGAAAGTTGAGCAATCTGGTTGGGTACCCTTGAAGTTAATTTCAGAAGCCTAGGGGACTCTACAGCCTAGTAGCTTTAAGCAATGAAAGAACTACTGCGTGGGGGTTAGACAAACTATTGCTACTATATTAGAAGGTTGCATCAATTTTTTTGCTTAATGTGTTCTTTGAAGCTAAACAAGAAACACTGAAACATTTGGTTGGGATATTTTTAGTAAGCCTTATGGGACCTAGAAATTAGATCATCAGCTGTAACTTAAGTAATTGAAGAAAATACTTATGCAGCATCTTAAAGCATAAAAAGATCTAGTTAATAAATGAAATAGCATTGTGGCTTTCATGAGCCATCACAGGAATTATTTTCAGAAACTTATTTAAAAATAGCATATCTAAATGGATTAAAAGCATTTGTGTATAGTACCTGCAAGGAAAACTGTTACTGAGGTTTTATAAATGCAGAGCTGTGTTTTTGGTGTCTGTTGGGCAACAAAGAGCTCTTTTTTGGTGCTTAAGCAGTTCTAAATCTCCCTTCATAAGGGGTCCAAATATATCCATTTTATACTAAATTGTACTCCTCCATCCTGTGGAAAAATTTTATACTGAGTTTTCAGCCTGAATTTTTAAGCCAGAGAAGGAATCTAGACATTTTGGGGGGCAGGGCATTTAGATTAGATACAAATCAGTGCGCGAGTTGATGAAAAGCAGCTTCATTGTTGGTTTTGGTGAGGAAAACTTTTGTTGGGGGAGAAAATTAGGTCTAGAAATCAAGAGATCCAATATATTTGAACTATCAGTACCACATATCATCCTCTGTAAATAAACATGTATACAGTTTCAAAGCTTAACTGGAATTATGCAGAACTGGCAGATTGTGATGATGGGTTCACAGATGTGAAGGTAGGACCCAAAGTTGGCATTGGATCAAAACTGACCTTGCCGTTGTCATGTCAGGAGAAGGGGCTGAAACAGACACTGTATCAGGGAGTGAACATTTTGAGAGAGGTGAGATTGTTCTATCTGTTATTCTGAAATTGGCAGCATATCATCTTTTATTATTGATAAGTCTGTAGGGAACATTTAAGATTCTCCTTTTCTTGAAGATAGGAATCCCTGAGCTGCTGCTATCATAACAACTTGATTAATCTTGGTAAATTTATGTGTAGCTTCTTCCATACTTGAATTTATAATGGATAAAATTTTAAGGTTAATATGAAAGCCATAAACGTGAGCTTTCTCATGGTTTTGTTCATTAAAATCAAAACAAACAGAGAAAACAGTTGTCATCCTTTCATTTCTCTTCTTCATTTACCTCCCTATGTGCGCCACATACTTAATCCTGTGTAAAGAGATGAGCTTTATAGTTAGAAAAATGTTCCTTTAGGTGATACATTGTAGAAAGACACTGAAGGGGTAGTTTGCTTGAGTATTTTCTCAAAACGGTAAAACAGTTTCAGTGGGAGAAGGGTAGGATAGTATAATGATTTTTGAAACCCTGGAAAAACAGTTCCCCTTTTTACATGTTTATTTCCATATTTTCCTCAACAAAAATTTCAAATAACAGGAGAAAAAGTCCTAAATGCTTGCTGATTTTATTTTCTTTATAGGTAACTTTGATCCAAAAGCTATGAATAATTTTTATGACAACATAGAACCTGGTCCAGTTGTACCACCCAAGCCACCTAAAAAAGGTAAGTAGGGAAATGTCACAGACGTCATAGAAATGAATATGAAAATTCCTTGGCAGTTCACCTAAAAAGCTGAAGAAATTTCCATTAGAGATAGCATTTTAAAAGTTACCCTATTGATGTTACTGTGGCAATAATGAAATGTCCCCAAAACCTTAATTTCTAAAAAGTACTAAATAACTCCTAGAGGTCAAAGGTAACTAAAATATGATATACAATTTATTTTGTAAAAAATAACTTGAAAAAAATTGTTATTTTGTATAGTTGATTTACACTGTTACGTTAGTTTCAGGTGTACAGTGAATTTGGTTCTGTTATACATATACCCATTCTTTTTTCAGATTCTTTTCCCATGTAGGTTATTACAGAACTCTATTACAGAGTAGAGTTCCCTGTGCTATAAGTAGGTCCTTGTTGAGTATCTGTTTTATATATAGTTGTGTATATGTTAATCCCAAGCTCCTAATTTATTCCTCCCCCACCATCTTTCTCCTTTAGTAACTGTAAGTTTTGAAGTCTGTGAGTCTGTTTCTATTTTGTAAAGAAGTTCATTTATATCATTTTTTAAGACTTTTATGGCTGAGTAATATTCCTGTGTTTGTGTGTGTGTGTGTGTGCCACATCTTCCATACCTTCTTTATCCATTCCTCTGTCGATGGGCATTTATGTTGCTTCCATGTCTTGCCTATTGTAAACAGTGCTGCGATGAACATTGGGGTGCAGGTACGTTTTCAAAGTATGGTTTTCTCCAGATGTATGCCCAGGAGTGGGATTGCTGGAACATA